TGTGTGTGTGTGTGTGTGTGTGTGTGTGTGGACTTAATGGTGTGTTTTCAGAAGAGTTGTTCTCAGGACGGTAACAAGCTAACTTTCTAAAGTTGGAGAGATACCTTCACAAATACACATTTGTAGGTTTTAGTAGGTAGTGACAACATTACCACGGAAAAAAAAATAGTCTTTAAACCCATCATGACCCAGATGTGATCGCTGCCTGCCATCACAACATACGTGAACAAAAGTAGGTCACATTGGGGTTAGAAATCACATTGGTGGTTGTGTCCTGCTTTGCCTATTTTGCACATCACATTTAATCACTACACATGTATAGTAATCCAGACAGTCAGCCCCCTGCCCTACTTGCATCTGAGAGAGAGAGCAAAAGAGACAGAGGCACAGACATAAACACAGACGTCAACAAAGAGACAGAGGAGGGGTGGGCACGGCAGACCCAGACAGAGCATGACACCCACTCCTCCGCTGCCCTGCTTTAGGGAAGACAGATAGAAAAGGGTGAGAGAGAGGGTTGCTAGGAGACCTGGCCCAATGCAAACACAGCACCATCTGCTGCAGTGAAATTTGGAGTGGGATAGCCAAGTTGGACGGAGAGGGAGAGATGGAGAAAGACACAAGCCCAGGAGGATCATTCAAAACAAAACCACAGGGAGAGACGAGGGGCAGAGGGAGGAGAGGAATGGATGAAGGATTAAAACAAAAGAGGAAATGGAGAAACAAAAAAAAAAACAAGATAAGAGTGAGGGCGAGTGAGGAGGAAAGTAAGCATGATGAAGAGCGTGATTCATGTATGACTAACAGGTGTGACCACCCACTCATAACCCTCCTCCGCCCACACGCTAACACACATTAACACACGCTAACAAATAATAACACACACATCTTTAAATCCACTCGCCCTCATGATATTTTCCATTTAAGTGAAATGTGAAATCTGATAGAAAACAAGCTGCTGATGCTGAGGTTGCTGTAGTTGGCCGTTTTTGTTTTTTACAGTACAGTACTATTTTATAGTAACGAAGGATGCTCTTGTTACCATGGGGATAATAAAAATGTCCCCATCTGTCCCCACGTCCTCTGATGATGCCTCAATAAAAACTTCCACCTCATAATTCCATCAAATTACTATTTCTCTCATCATTATTTTCTTTAAATATTATCGGTGCATTTAATTACACAAGAATGTGTAATTTGTGTCTAGAAGCTGCATTTTCACACACCCTCTGCAAAACCAAAGTGTTACGTAAAGATAAGAAGGTTTTCTGTTGAAACTGCAAATCGTACAAATCATTTTTAGCTCACCAACTACATGATGCAGATGAAGGGAAATTTTAAATCGAGATGCATTCTTTGTCTTACAGATATTAAGTCATACGCAACTTTATCCTTTGCTCAATTTAAAAACACCAGTGTGTTGCTTCCATTAGTCTGGTATGAACAGTAGCTCATGGCTGAAGTTAGCTAAAAAGAGTTTGGACAAAACTGAGTTACAACCAGAATCAAACTTTTTGACATCTCATTTTACTGCTAATATTAGCATCACAAGGTAGCTTAGCTTCACCCACTTTTAACTGTTTCCAAGTCTTGATATATTTATTTTGATGCCCCAACATGTTAGTATTAGTTTGTGATACAATGTAAATGAGACTTTTGCAAAATTTTGAATCTTAATGTGGCGGGGAATCAAGAACATATTTTGTTTTCAATTTTTAAGTTTTACGTAAGATGATCAAAACAAAATAAACTGATGTCAGTTTATTTTGTTTTGATCCTTAAAATAACTGAAATATAATTAGGTCTTGCTATAAATAAACATGATCTCATCATTAAGCTTCAATCTTGAATTTATCTTAATCTCAAATACAAAAAAAGCCTGCCCTGTGAACTTGGTGAAGTTTGAAATACGTCAGCGTTTATTGGACAGGTAGTACTTAAAGGTGCAGTGTGTAAGATTTAGGTGAAAGGGATTTTTGACAGAAATTGAATATAAAATAATCCTAGTGATGTTTTCCCTGGTGTGTTTCATCTAAGTTGTATAAATTGTCATTTTCTTTATTATAGAATGGGCCTTTATATTTAAAAACTTCATATTTACATTCCTCTCTGTGGAGGCCGCCATGTTTTTTACTGTCGTCCGGACTGGACAAACTAAAACCGTTGACTTTTCATGATAACTGAAGTTCACCACAGGTTCTCCTTCATGTTGGGAAGGGGAGGGTGAGATGAGGAGTGTTCAGCTGCAACATGCAACTTCACCACTAGATATCACTACATTCTAAACACTGAATCTTTAATAAAATACAATTGTAGGTTCCAGTGGACTTAAATTCAGGATATCTTGGCCACTGTGACTTAATTTGCGACCATTCTTTTCAAAATCTGACTCCCAGTATGAAAAGGTGGCACATAAAGACACAAACTATTTTCCATACAGATATCAAGGTGCTTTTTATTAGATGAAGATCCAATGATATATAGTCAACAGCAGCATCCTCCTTTACAAAAGACATTAAAATTGAAACATTTTCAGTATAAAAGTAGTATCGTACAGCCAATGTGGGGTACCAGAGAGAAAGCATGACATGACCTAAACCATATTCATTCATCATCATATGGATCATAGATAAAACACAATACATTAACACTATTTACAGTCTGTAACACAGAGGTTGACATTAATGGTAATCCTCATGGTGAATACAGTAAATAGAATATATTCATATATTAAGATCTTTTTGTTTACAAAATCATAATGCATTATATATATCACAGAGAAAGGCTATCCACAACCTTGGCTTTCAGCTATACACACACCCCCTTGTTCTGCAACACTTTGCCCAAACAAAATGAATCTTGTTTGGTCAACTTATTGTTGATGGGTGGCTTCTTTGGTTGTGCTGGGTTTCATGTTGTAGCCTCTGACTGAGCGGTCAGCTGCTGAGTATTACTGAGGAGAGTTAACTGTTTACTTTGAGTTAACAGGGTAACACCATATACAGGGCAACTTCTAGAGCAATTTTCACAATAACAGGAAACTACATGTGACGGGGCAACTCAGTTTGTTTTTCTAAACCAGGATCGCATTTAATCGCTTATGCTTTTGGGCTCTTACAGCTCAACTGAACTGTGATCTATCGCATTAGTTGTTGTATTACAGCACAAGCTTTCAGTGCAACTCTCATACAAATTTCTCATTACAACTTTTTCTCTTTTTCCACAAAAACATGAGGACTGAGAACAAAACTGATCAGAAAACTGTAGTTTTAGATCACGCATGCATTTATATTGCATTTCAACAGGATGGAGGCAGTTGTAATGGGTTCTCTCTCATTTTAAAACAATACATTTCCATAAATGTTGCCACAAATATTACCCAGGTATCATAACTCAAAGGTACATGATGCATGAGGACTATTCAGTGAGTCAACTGAGGTGGAAAAAACATGAACATTTTTTATCTAAAGCTGAGGCAAAACCGAAAAAGATAATGTGTTGGTGCATTAAGCAACAAACAAATTATAAAATATATTTATCTTGTGCATTGCTTCATAATGTTGCCCAGTTGGTTTGTTATGTTAGTGAAGGTCGATGTAACAGCAGTAAAACAACCGCCATTCCAGACTGAAATAGAGCCTAAGAGTGATGGGTATTACCTGTTTTATACATATGCATCTATAATGCACACCTCTGTGGTCACGTCTATACCTCGTAACTTCAGTAAAAAGCATTACTTACTATTTGAGTTTTCCCTTAGCCCATGAAACCAGTCATGCTTTGGCCATTTGTGTTTTCAAATCAAACTATGTGTAGGTCTGTTATTTGTATGAAAACGGGTTGTGTTTGTGTCTGAATGATCGCTAGCGCCCCCCCTGGCTGATTGAGCCTCGTCATCGATGGTCATTGACCCACAACAGAAACCTTTGGGCGATAGTCGCTCACCTGAGACAAGCTTATATTGTATAATTCTATCCGACCAAGAAACAAAGGTGGACGCAGCAATGCCTCCACCGACACCAGACATACACTGGAGGGATGACCGGATCACTTTACATGACGCTACGAATCAAACGATGAATAAACCCCAGGGGGAGCTGCTCTGCTGCTTCGAGGGCAAATTCCTGCGAGGTTTTAGGACGAGCCGGTGGCCGTCTGTCTGTTCGCTGTGGGCTCACCCTGCTCGTCGTCAACTGCATCACTAGCAAGATGTGGAGTGGATCCCTGCCAAAATGCCATAAAGCCTCTGCATAACTGGATCAGGATCTTCTCCTCACCACCATACTGAGCTGAGTGAGCCCCCCTCCTCCCCTTGCCCATGTGCTCAGACCTCCGTGCCAAGCCTCAGCGCCAGGCCTCATCACTGGCCCAGCTGGCATGGCCCCGATCAGCTGGATTTTAGCTCATCTCATTCATGCTGCGGACAGAGTGAATGTCCGTCAGCGCTTCAGGCCAGTGAGCCCCCGTCGTGCCGTGCCGACTGCCCTCCTTCTGGCTAAATTTCCACTGAATCACCTGTCAACAACTGGCTTTTAACGTCATTGTTAGACAAGATGGAGCGCTTCAAACAATGTCAATGTTTCCTAGAAGGTATAAGAGGAGTGTTATCACCTTTTTAAGAGTTATCGAATCATGTTTCATAAACAAACAAAAAAACGAGAGAAAATAGACGTCACTATTGCTGGCCAGTCACCTAGTCCTGCTAGCTGCATACAAGCCTGCCTAGTCTGTCAAGCTGGGATATTTGGGATCTTGGTGTGTGTGTGTGTGTGTGTGTGTGTGTGTGTGTGTGTGTGTGTGTGTGTGTGTGTGTGTGTGTGTGTGNTGTGTGTGTGTGTGTGTGTGTGTGTGTGTGTGTGTGTGTGTGTGTGTGTGTGTGTGTGGTAGGGAGGGATTGGCAGAGAGTTACAAAGGTTAATGGTAAATCAGCCAAACCAAAGTCACACACTCACCCACCACACACATTCCCCCCCTGCTCCCCCTCCTCTATCCATTTGTACCCCCCTCCACTGTTGCAGTCGGTCATGTCCCGGGTGCCTGTCCCTCAGTCCCAGCCGTTGTCCTTGATCATGTGGGCCAGCTCAATGATGAACTTGCCCTCTTTATACTTCTGACTGCTCTCAAAGGCATGTTCCTGGAGGGCGAGGCAGAAGGCAGGAGAGAAAGAGGGACAGCGTTTAATTCAAAGGACAGATGGACAGAGGATATTAACATGTTTATAACTCTGACAGAGGGCAGGATAATGTAGGGAAAGACACTAGCAACCTAAAAAAAACTGTCCAGAACAGTCTTTGTAACCCTTCTTTCATTTTTGTCCTGTCTCTGCTCATGGCTATTTGGAAGACGGTAATACAACCGTCAGTCACTAAACACTGAGAAGTCTGCAGTATTAAAAACTGACTGGATCATCGTACCATACATTGGCAGCGATGAGTCTCTAACCACAAACAATCTGCCAGAGGTAAAAAAAAGAAACAAGGCCACAGGCAACAGCCAACACTAATATAGTCTACTTGACTTTAGCAGGCTGTAACATGTATTGTTAGGTGTGTAATCCAAAACTCCTCTGAGGAATATAAACCACATGAAGCCAGAGTTTGGGCAACACAGATGCTTACTAACTTCACTAAGTAGCATATATCGATTTAACCTGTAATTGTACATTTATACAAAAACCCTTTATTTATTAATGTACCCTCATCATAGGCTATCCATGCTAACTGCAAAATATCAATACTATGAAAAGCATGACTGCACCATCTTTAGCCTAACTTAATGATATAAACCTAATAAGAGTAAATAGCTTGTAATAAAAATTACATGGTCAAAAACCAAACTTGACACCACTAAAAAACTTCAAAAGCTAACTGGGTACTTTGGTTTATACAAAAACTTGTTAAAATATATATTCCCACTTTGTGTTTCTTATCTTTAGAGCTAATTAGCAATAGTTAGCATACATTTTTTGAATCTTAATATTTGATTGTGAAAAATAGGCTGTCGAGTCAAAATTAGTGTCTAAATAGTGAATGTTTCTTCTTCTCAAATGTCTTCATGAACATTTTCACTAGGACTGTCAATAAATAATGTATAATGAATCCAATTTACAATTTGAAAACAAATCAGACATTCAATTGTGAAAATTAATATTCGAGCAACACCACTGCATCGCCTTGTTTGTGCTCACGTGGATCTGGACGTCAACTTCATTGATTAATAGTGAAATATAGGTCAAGCTGAAACAAGCGAATAGTTCACTAACAATCGATTGGTAATGATGCCTCGCAAATGGAGTTATCTGCACTCGAAGAAATCTATAAACTCCTGTTTGGAAATTATTCAGATTTTGGGTTGACTGCAAAACTGTGGAGCCAAGACATAAAGATGTATGTGAGCTGTGCAGGCTACAATTAGCTCACCATTCCAGCACCACATACCCTGAAGGCACATCTGAACCATGCACCCAAATGAACACAGCCATCCTAAACACTGCATGTCTAGATATGCAGATCTTAAAAAAGACATGTTGAAGTTTATGTATAAATAAAAATATAACTCCACAAGTAGACACGTCTCTAGTTGAGTCAGTTTTCCCTTTTATGGAGTGAAAATATAAAAAATGTTCCAATAGTTTGAGCTTATATAAGTGCTGCTTTTAGGTAGAAATATCAAATGTTGGTTTTGGTAAATTTTGATAGAAGTCGTTTTTATTTCTGCTATTTGATTTTAAGGCTAAAACAGGACTGTGTTGTTACATTGCTGGTGTGTATTCATTTCTTCTCATGGTGGTCATGCCTAACTGTGATGGCCCACCCACCTCCCACCTCCAATATCCCCAAATCACTTATATTATGTGGCAAGCAGTAAACCTTTGTAAATCAAATATGTTTTATGGAAGAAAATATATAAAACCCCTTTCAGTAAACGGTGCCTGTGGGCATTATATTTCTGTTTCAGAAACTTTTTTTTTCCATTTCAGATCACACATTAAACAGCACAGCTGCTTAAAATGGCAGAAAATTACCTCTGCTTACTATCCAAGCCCATTACCGACATTGTGTTCCTTTTTAAAGCCCAATGATTCCCTGAAAGCCTTTCTTGAAAACTGCATGACACAACAGGTTGAAACAAATGTACTTTCACCACAGAGCATCTGCATCTTGTTTTGGGTTTGGCTATTTTGGTTCCGAGCTGCAGATGCACGTTATTAGATTTCCCGCTGTAGAAGTGCAGTGGGTCAAACCTCTCAATAGAACTGTGACGAGTGCAGAAAATCAACACTGCTGCAAGTGATAATCCACGGCAGGCCTCCCGTAAGATCCTATCTAAGTGTTTGTTAGCGTGTGCATGCATGTGATCTGTTTTCTTTGCCTTGTGGGGTCCTGACAGGAATAGACACCACACAGAAGAGTAGCTACATTTACAGCTGGTTAACCAGGTGTTTTCCAGGGACCATGAGGAAAAATAAGTTATTTTTAGGCAGAGAGGTTAAAGAATCAGGTTTAGGGTTTAGACACGTAGCAGAGAACATGATCGTCAGAGGTCAGGCAAGGAGAGCTAGTCACCGGAGCCTTCTCAGAATAAAAAAAACAAGCCGTGTGTATATGTTTGTGCATGTGTGTTAAATCTATGAGGATGCCCTATCAAGTAAACTCCCACCTCCATTCTGACAGGGTTCAGTTGTTTATGACAACTGCACATGCTCAGCTCTGTTGTGAAGACCGCTGACATGTGTGGATCCTGTTTTGCTCACCCTGAGATGGGACCTTAAATGCCATCTGTACTAAATACATACAACACGTGTATTTTGATATGCTATACTATGCTATAAACAGACTCTGACTGTATGCATGGCTCTGATATTAGCAGGCTGTCAACCTTATTTTAACACTGAGTTTGATCAACAATTGCTGACACTGAGCAGTGATGGCTGTAATGAAAAATTGCCACAAGAAAAGGAGCTCAACAGCCTGGTTCCAGAAGTAAAATTGCTATTCATGTTTGAAATAGAGCTTTTGATAATCAGTCATAATATTTTAACCATCCATGGTAGACCTACCACAAGCTACGAGATGGGAAACAATTTTATATGATCCTGTAGAGGCCACGAGTTTGTATAACATCCACTGCCTTATAAGAAATACTTGCTTGATTTGCAATGTCAAGGAAAGTGCAACACTACCCAGAATCCTCCAGTGTAATAGCAACGTCGTTGATTGGTGAAGCTCCCTGTTACAATGGCAATGTTTACCACAACTTAGAAAATCGTGTCGGCTTTGGTCGGCTCATTCAGCGTTGATGGATACCAGAGTGGTGACTGCAGTTGAGAATCAACCACTGCACCATGTCACTGACAACATTAAGGTTACACTACTAGACCATGTTACTAAAGTACACACTAGATAGCAACACGTTATTAACAAAGAAGATTTAATTCAAGAAGAAGCACACAGGAAGTCATTGGAAAGGGACAATCCACAATGGTTTATGGGATGTGTTGTTCCTACACCCTTGAAATAATTATACACACCTTTTGTTTTAATTTTCCCATATGTATTGGCTCCAAAACAAATGCTTTATGGTCACCATTCATCTTGTAGCTGGTCAACCTGGTTCCAGGCTTAAAACTATTTTTATAAGAAAATGAATTGAAAATTAACATCCAGAACCAGAGCCGTTTTAAAATTGAGCTGTCACTGTTACGCTTTAAAACACCACTACCATGTCTAGTATAAAATCCACTCATGTATTTCTGACCTATGAGACATATGAAGTGATGAATCAAGGCCTGAACAAGATGGTTTAATTTCCACAAGACTCATCACAAGTCCCTTAAGATAAATTAAGACTTTGCCTTCTCGTCTCCATCTGCTCTGAGAAATCTGATTAATAATTCAGCCCACAGCCGCTCTGACCCTGACAGAAGAGGAGGTCCAAACATAATAAGGACGAAAATAAAATTAGGTTGTGCCATAACAGCAGCCTCCCAGTTTATCGTCCTCTAACCTTGGATGCAGTTTGCGGTGCGGTGCATCATATCAGCTGTGGGACACTTACGTATTTCCAGCCCAGGGTCGTCTTGCAGTTCTCACAGTAGATATCTGCTACAGCGTGCAGGCCTGTAAGCAACACTCTCTCCTCTGCGGGGCCACACCCGACGTTCACCCTGAGAGAAGGAGAACCAGGGAAGAGGAAGGAGACGCAGGCAGAGAGTTAAAAAAAACAAAAAAAACTTGTGACTGCTCAGTTGCATCTACTGAATGATGAGCTCTGAGTGAGTCACTACCTCACAACCACTCGCTCAGCGCATACTGATAGGGCACCAGGCCACAGAGCATAGATTCAAACGGTCTAATTTTCACACTCAATTCAGCTTGATAATGACAGCGCTGCGAGGCACAGGCTGGCTCCATCTGCTTCAGAGCCGCCGAAACAACACCACATCTATGTGGACCAACCTGCTTTATAAACCTACTTTACAACACCTGGATATGTTAGATCACTTTGGGTCCCGCATGTTTTTCCTAACACATAACAAGTCACTTGCAAAGCCATTAAACAGGATGATCTTAATGCTTCCAATAATTAAAACCGGCCTGTACAACCCTCCAATTGTCTTCCCGTCACACCGAATGAAAAATATTGACTTGTTAACTGATTAATTCTGGAATATCAAGCAATTATTCTAATAATATTTTAGGAATTTTCCAGAGTATTTGACCTGAACTGCTCAAAAGTTACACCCTTGGTTTGGATAGATACTCACACTGAGTTGAACAGGTAGGCTCTGCCCTGGCTGCCCTGGAATGACTGGAGAGACAGGATGAGACAAAGATCAAACGGTTGAAACAAGAATCTTCTCTCTCGTACAACGTGTTCTGTATAAGTAGGTTGGTTTCCTTTTTAGAAAATGACTGACACCCAAGCCTGTGGTGACCAATGGGACAAAAATTTAGAAATTATATTCGGGTTCTGTCGTGAAGACTGAGCTATCAACTTAAAGGTACACTGTGTAGAATATAGTGACATCTAGTGTTGAAGTCCCTTTTACCTCAATCTTACACACAGAACCTTTAATTTCTTACTCTACACATCTGTAATTGGAAAAGATCTAACAATAACCATATGTGTCAGGGACAAGGTAACAACACCCACTCAGCACAGATTATTATTGCATGAACCTGAAGAATGCTTATTATTATTATGAGCAGAAATGAAATATAATATTCATTATTGTATTATATTATTATCTTTTCATTAGTATGGAATCACCTGACACTAAGAATTGTGTTTTTGTTCCTTAGAATGAGCCCTTTATATCCACATCGAGAGCGAGTTGTCTTCCACAGAATCCACCATGTTCCTACAGTAGCCCAGAGAGGACAAAACCAAACACTGTTCACAGTAACAACTAATATTCTACTGATGACACTGTAGCATTAAGGAAACCTGGTATTTTTTAGTGCTCTAAATCTAATCAGGTTTACAACACCAAAGCTGATCTATGCATTAGTAGCTTTACCACAAGCAAAACAGTCTATATTTGCCACAAAACAAGAGCCGCTGTATTGTGATGGGCAGACGTGCAAAGGTGAGTGTGTTGTTATATTTGCTCATGGAAAAAGTGATGGTGCATTCATAATCCAATTCACTAATCAGTTTATAACATAATCCATGATCAGGCAATAGTGAGGCAGCAGCTGACACATACATACAGGTATTCAGCCTGATGTTTATTTTTATAAATCATAATCCACTTTATCTTTAACAACAGTCCATGTTAACTCATGTCATGTGCTGTAAACTGGAAGAGTGAATTCCTTTTTTCTTTTTAAGTTTCTTACGTAGAACAAAACCTGAAGCTACTTGAATGTAAGTCCTGTCTCAACGGTTTCCAGGGGCAACCACTGTTGGTAAGGTGAGTCAAGTCAAGTTACTTGAGCGGAGCGCCCTCGTTGCCGTCAGGTTACCTTGGAGATGAGCTCGTCGTGGTTGGCCAGGTGAGCTCGGCAGTGGATGCAGCTGTAGGTCCGGTGGCAGCTCGGCAGGTACGCCTGGAAGGTCTTGGAGCGCGTCATTCTGACCATGGGCGGGGTTGGCGGGCGGTGCAAGAACGGACTGCCAGCCCAGGTCGGCTCACAAGGGAAGCACCGCAACACACAGGTGAGGGCCGTGGTGGGCGGTGGGTCGGGAGGCGAACACCTGAGCACGGGAGGGGGGGGTTGTGGGTGGTAAAACAGCACCTAGTGGTTACATGGTTGTGTAACTGCTGCTTCCTTAAGCTGATGTTGCACACTGAGCCACAGGTGTATAATTGCTGATGGGATTACAGTCTGCCCTGAGAAGTCTCCAGCCTGCTTGCATCTGTCCAACTCCTAAAACCTCAAAAAGCTATGACGTGATGAGACGGGGTGCAGTATTAATGAGCTGAAAACACGAGGGAAATCTACTACAGGAGATTCATTCAAACACAGTACAGGTTTTCTCACACACTAAGCCAACACACCAATACACAACATAGTCATAGCCGAAGATACAAAAGCATTTTCCGACGCAAACAGGTTTAGTTTATGACTTCAGAGCTAAATAGTAAAACTACTACACTTAACATGGAAAGCAAATATTATTGTGAGCGTGTTAGCATGCTGACATTATGAAAGTTCCGCTGTGCCTAAGTACAGCCTCACAGAGTTACATGCACGACTGTAGACTTAATCTTGTTTAAGATCAAATACTTAATGTTCTCCACTGTGAGAGAGTTCCTGCTTCTCTCCACTGTTTGATGCAATTGCTACTGCACAACTTCTTGTTTTGGGACCAGTGTGTGAACATGTCACCCTGCACTCTGGGAAAATATGATGAATGTGGCATTTTATAAATCAAGCAATTCATCACTAGGCCAAGTAGGTATTGGCTGAAAATCCAGACACAATTACAGACACAATTTCTTGTCCACTGGTCTCCACTCTGCACTGACTCCTGTTGAATGCAGTTCTTTTCATGGCCTGCCGGCCACAACGATAGCTCACATTCTGTGTTTAAGTCTATGAGGTTGCAGAGTTAATCTTCTTAGCCTAGCACAACTGCGAGGATCATGCTATGCTCTCTCCATGATATCCAAATAGACCGGGCCCTTAAAATACTCGTGCTGGTATGCCCTGGTGACTGAGAAGATTAGCAAGCTGGCCTGGGAACCCATCCCAAAGGCTTGGGGGCCAGGAGGACGGGGGTACGCTATGACTGACTGTACAGTAGAAACTACTTAACAGTTAAGAGGCCTTTGCTCTCATTATTGTGGTGCAGCTGTTGTCTCTGTGGTTTTATTGTATAATTCAACTTTAATATTAAAATTGTGATACATGCTTTTCTTTTCTCTCAATTAGTATGAATACAGCGGCCGGACTCCTCACCACAACAAAAAAGGAGACAGCTCATTACTCCAATTTTAGTGTCTCTGGAAACTTCAGAAGTGATTTTAACATTTAAGGTTTGCTTTGGACTCAGAGACAAGAACATCACTGATCCTCTGACAACATACGTGCCCGGTCGCAACCTGAGGTTCTCATCCAAGGATCGGCTAGCCATTCCACAAACTAGGCTGTGGACCAAAGGTGACGGGGCCTTTTCTGAAGAGCTCAGACTGGCTGATTCCTCATCTTCTTTTAAACTGCTCTTAAACAGCATTTTTGCAACCCCTATTTTATACTATTCATATTAAATGATTAAATATAAATCATTATTATTAATAATAATAATTGTGATTTCAGCATAGTAGCTCTGCTGTTAAACATCCTATCAATATCAAGATACGCCTTTCAAAGTACAGTTCACAGGAGGTAAAGAATTGCCTCTGAAACCTTTGTGTATGTGTGACTGGGCCCTTATTGTCTACCTGTCTATTACAACTTCTCTTCTTTCTCATTTAAATTCATACAGAAAAAGTGATTTTTCCACTTGACAAAAGTATTTCTTGTCATCCACAAGACTCTATATGAAAACTTGTTGTAAATTTGACTAGTTGTTTCATCACCTTCACAATATGTTGTCCTCTTATGTGTCCTCTCCTTCCTGTCTGTCTTCACTGAACCATCGGGAAAAACTCATAAAATACTGAATGGGAGCAGGAGGCCTCTGTGAGTCCAGGACAAACAACACAGAGGCAGAGCGAGAGAGCGCGGCCTCATTACTTTACTGCTCTTCAGTGTGATTGTTTTTAGTGTCGGACGGAGGCTGATAAAGGCTCCAGTGCTAATGGGAAGGAGCGGGGGGATATAAATAAATAAGGCAGAGAGACGTGCCCTTGTTTTCTCTCCTCTGACTTGGTGCCAGCGGCGTGGGATTGAGGCACAAAGACACGCTCAGTGCAGTTGTCAGAGAGCTGACCCCCCCCCCCATCACACACACACAGACTGATGTTCCACTCAAAGTAGTTTTATTCTCTTGGTAAGAGTGAGTTAAGGGTTAGGACAAGAAGGAACTTTTTGAAGCTCTCTCGCAGATTTGTTCAAAATGATTGATTCCTGGTCGGTACGGTGGTGCAGTGGTTAGCACTGTCACCTGACCTTAAGAAGGTTCCTGGTTTGAATATCAGTTAGGTTGTTTGTCTCTCTTGCCGGCCCCGTGATATGCTGGTGTCCAGTGTGTACCGCACCTTTCACACAACGTCAGCTGGGATTGGCCACAGCTCCTCTCACAACCCTCAAAGGATCAGCAGTGTGGTTAATGGATGAAAAAATGATTGAATCCAGTGATGATTAGCTGAAATGAATGAAATCAATTAGCTTCTATTTTCATAATCTGTTGCTTGTTTGTCTACAAAAATTTTATGATTTTTATTTAGCTTCTCAATTGTTAAGACTTAATGTTTTTCTGTGCGTTATATTTAAACTGAACATGTTTGGCTTTAGATATGTTTGTCAGACAAAACAGAACATTTGAAGACATCACCTTCAGCTTAATAAGGATATTTAAAAGGAAATGTTTTTGTTTTAATAATTTGCAATCTGATTACAGTTAAATTAAGTCCTAGGTGCTGTCGGTAATGTAGGAAGATAAGCCTGAGCTTCATCACATTAAATTTAAGCTTCTTCTTTTAAGCTTCTACTGTTGCACACAGGAGCATTTCCATAGACTTTGGGGGCTGAGGGCAAAAAGGGCCCCAAAGTTCCCCAGCAACAAACATATGATATCAAGCCACATTATTCCAATCTAATACGATTCCTTTAGTATCAAAATTACAATCAAAGTGCAGACTGTGCATACACATAAATAATAGTACATTTTAAGTGCAAACCCCAACCACATCACCAAACCTCTAAACGCTGAAACAGTAGCTGTTAAACTCACTAAAAAAGATGGTAGACTTCTTTCCCATTGCCAGTGGAGGAGTTTGCTCTCCTGGTTTTTTCCCCCAGTGCGTCATGTTCAACATCACAAACTAAGAAGCTCTCATCTTGCTGTCTCGCCAAATTAGGGCCTTCACTTAAGTGTCCAATTTCCATTAACATTATCATAGCCGGAGCCTACTGTCTACTGCAGAATCCTTTGACCTGGGAGTGAATGCTGATTAAATCAATTCCCACTGCAGACAAAAGCCAGATGTTAGCAGGTTTTTTGACCAGTGGAAATAGGATTTAAAGGTACAGTGTGTAGAATTTTGTGACATCTAGTGGTGAAATTGCACATTGCAGCTGAACACCCCTCACCTCACCTTCTCCTTCCAAACATGAAAAAGAACCTGTGGCAGCCTTCATTTGTCATAAAAACTCAAAGGTGTTTAGTTTGTCAAGTCTGGACTAATGTAAAAAACATGACAACCTCCTTAGTATTTCAATCTAAACGGCCTTTTCTGGGGTAAACAAAACTAAAATTCATACAATTTAGATGAAACGAACTATTGAAAACATCATGAGGATTATTCTACATAAAATTTTTTGCCAATAGTTAGTACCTAAATCTTACACACTGGACCTTTAAGGGGGTTCTCACACAACAGTTGTTGATCTGGACATAATCAGCGGTTCTCAGGGGCCCCTTCTCAGCTCCGGGCCCCAGGTAATTGCTTGCTTTGTCTACCCTGTCTTTGTCACCCCTGCTGCTGCATTAGTGAGAAGTCGCTCATCTTGAAGTCTCGATGTAAACATGATATCCATCACAGCTGACGACATGATGGGACAGACGTGATGTTTACTCCAACTAGCTACAGTCGGGATGCAGTTACAGTTAGCCGTCAGCGTGTTGACATACTCCCTCGCACAATGTGCTAATGTGCCTCAGCGATATTCACTAACACTGAAGCGTTAGACGTGTCACACATCTTCTCGAGGGTCTGCAGTCACTCTCTGAGGTATCACTCTCTGAGGTAGCACTTCATTAAAGCCCAAACAACAGTAGCACCAGTGTTTGCAAGTGGCTTTTGATGAGGACAGATGCCTCTTACTAATGTGATTAAAAATATATTCTAATGCAGTCAGAGCAGGAAGTGGAGGCCTGAGCAGAATTTTTTACTTATTTGTAAAACTAAACTGTTTGATTATTTAATTTGTTTATCGACAGAAAATGAATTTGCAATGCTCGGTTAATGGCTTTAGTCATTTTCAAGCACAAGTTTCAAACAATTCATTTAATTCTTGTCTTTCATATATATTATTATTATTATTATGACATTTTATTGATCACACAGATGCAGATAAAGATAAATGTATGAATAGCGATGACAATGATAATTAGCTTCAGACATGGAGATGTTATGGTTTTGATTTAGGAGGTATAAACTCTACCTATGTGGCCATAATTTTTCTTTGACACTGTATAACTGTATAACAGTAACATAAATATCTGTGATTAAAAATATATTCTGGTTTCTCTTATCGTAGTGACAGAATAACGACAAAAAGGACACAGGTCGCTCTAAAGATGAGAAGTGAATGGAAAAATCCTGGACCTGTTCAGAGCCGAGCTGTGACGCTGATTGACATTTCAAAACAATTCTCATCAGATTCAAATAACAGTATGACGAGTGCATCTTGGTGACTGGACACACTAGAAAATCATTTAGCAAGGAAACATAGTTTGTCGGAGTAAAGGCTGTGGCTGACGGCTCGCTGTAAAAACGCTGATGTAAAGATTAAACCCAGGCTCTGCACTAAAAAAACTCTTGACAGAATAACAAACTGCATAAATAATCAGATGACAAGAAGAAGTTATCGCAGAGATCCCGACAGGCTCCAGCAGCAGGAAAAAATGTTTAATCAACCCATACATGTCAGGACAGAGACAGTCTGCATAACCTCAGCCTGCGTGTGTGTTTTGGTATTTGTCCATCTTTTACCAGTTTATCTTTCAGTCTGCCCGGCGGCCTGTGTCTTCTCCTCGTCCGTCTCTACGCCTCTTGGCATGTTTGTGTTTTAATTTTTTTCCGCTGTCACTCTGGCTATCCGTCAGTGCTGCCGTGGGTCGTTTGAGGTCGCCGTGCCGTCCATTCTGGTCATTTCTGGGTGTCATCACAAAAGGTTACGTGCCACGAGTCTCACCAGCCGAAAGGGCCCTTGTATCCCAACAAAAAATCCTTTGTTATGTAACGCAGTGATGCTGCCGCTGCTGCTGCTGTCTCTGACAATGATTGAGAGCAGGAGAGATGGAGGGGAGGAAGAGATACGAGGGTAGAGAGATGAGAGGAGGGGAGTCAGACGGGGACAGGGGAGGCAAAATGAATGAAGGAGCAGTGTGTGTGTTTGTCGCTTCAGAGGAGCTGTGTGTCGTACGCTGCCCACGAGCTGTGCCGACACAGTTGCTGTGTACTTTAACCCTGTTCTCCATTCAGTGTTGCACCAGGACCAACAGCGTGCAGCAGCATGACATCACCGACTACAGGACGAAAAAAACTCCCCAGTGCCCCCTCCCACTCATATCAAATCTCACTGAGGAGGCAATGCTCCTGCATCCCAGGTGTGTGTGTGTGTGTGTGTGTGTGTGTGTGTCTGGTTACTGTTGCTACGTTTTATCTTCTAATCTTCTTCTGTTGGTCGTGTACACAGACGACAGCAGCTTTATGGAGGGTGATGCACGTTTTTTCCAGCGGCTGAGATGTCTGACACAAACACTTAACGGAAACACAAATTCAACAGCACAACCGCAAAAGCTATTTTGCATGTTACTATTACATTACAACGGCTTACTTTGCAGAAATGTTCATTGTCAACAATTCGTTGCTCACCACTGTGTGTGGTTGTGTTTCCGTTGTGTCTTTTGCAGTCGTGTCATCACTTTTGCATTTGTGTTGTCAATTTTGTATTACTGTTGTCACTTTTGCATTTGTATCGTGGCTTTTGCTGTGGTATCGTCACTTTTGCAGTTGAGGTATGCCTTTTGCAGTAAGTTTTGCGTAAATGTGCTTGTGCGGGGCGTCTCGGCTACCGTTGGTTTTCAATTGATTTCGACACACATCCTGCTGTTACATATACAACTCCTCAAAGAAACACTTCCTCATTGTACTTCTTGGTCATTGTGGTTATAACTCATACTTTCCTCATTCATGTATCATTTCTAAGTTGTTGCTAACACATAACAACACGGTCATGATACAAAAAAACTACCAAAAAGCATGTTGTGTAATAAAAGAGAGATCACAACAGCAGCACAACACACCTAATGCAACTTTGTTTATGTCCACAAGTCCTGTCCTGTAGAGGATCACCTTTCAATTCCTGCAGCTCTCTGACCCCATCATCTTCGATCCTACCGTGATCAATAACTATCCATATGCACACTCTGCAATGAAAACAGAGAGGGAGAGTTGTGCACTCCTGAACTGTTCACACTCAGTGACTTTATTTTGTAGATTTGTTTTTGACGTGATATGTGAAGGTTTCAGGCTGCAAGGTTTACAGTGTGTGTGTGTGTGTGTGTGTGTGTGTGTGTGTGTGATTATTGGGGATGATTATAGTGTCAGTGGCAGTGCTGCACTTTATCTGGGGCAGAACTTCAGCCACCACACGGAGCACAGATGGTGGGGATGCCTCAGCTCAGCAATGTTGGAAACACGCACATACGCACGCACACACACACACACGCACACACACACTAAACCTTCAACATCATCACTGACTTTGACAGATCGATGGGAGTCAGGTGATCAGTGTTCGCCATCACATCATGACGTGATAACCCCGCATTGATCACAGCTGACGCGCGCAATCACGGCCAGGCGCGTGCACGGCGGATGATGGCGCATACGTGCACGACTGCCACCACGAACGGCGTGCGTGCTAACAACAAGCAGCAGATACTGTGGGTCCGCATCACACACACAGAAAGCATCAGTCCAACACATGAGCAGGAGTTTGGACACGTGTGTTGACTAAACATGACCACAGATCTGTCTTTTTGTTGTCTATCTAAAAAGCATGTTCAGAAAAAGTCTTGGCTGCAGCTACATGATGGTCCTCACGGAGCGAGGTGAGGAGAGTGCGTAACAACAAATCCAGCACAGCGCAGAGGAAATTCAGTTTTACCTTTGGAGGGGAGAAAAAACTGCGGATCTCCACGTAGCCAGTGAAATGTGGCAGCTCCTTCCTCGTGTCTGTGCCAACCCCACAGCCCGTGATGCCTTCCCTCCAGCCGCGAGTCTCCTGCGCTTCTCCTCGGCCCAGGCGACTTCTGCAGGAGACGCAATGTTTTGACGCGCAGCTCAGCTCAGTTTGGAAGAGACAGAGACAGAGAGTGATGAACCAGTCAGCCGGAGAGAGAGGAGGCACTGCCGCCTACTTCCGGGTTCGTAGTGGAACTGGTATACAGTGAGAATCAGCTTTATTGAACGTGTATGACTTCACATACTAGGTCCAAAATAAGCGTGACCACTCTGTGCAATAGAGTTGAAGTGTTGACAAGGCAGTAGTGCAAAGGGAAACAAAACGTGCAAGAGTGGACAAGAAGCATTTTGCTGCTATTTGTGACCAGAGGACAACAGTGCACCGCAGAGTGTAAAGATGCTCAGACAGATATGGATGGATAACAAACAGGTTACATACATGGGGCAGGTGAATCATATGGTGTAGTCGGGACAGTTTGTGCAACTGAGCGGGAAAGACAGTGAATTTCTCTCCTGAGTGTGTTTCGAAGTTTCATGTAGATGTTAATCGAGTTGTAAATGATGTTAATAATCTGTTTTTAGCCTAAATGTCCTCTGTGACCCTTCTCCTAGTTACTACTGCAGAAACTAGGAGGGTGATAACATGCATCTGTGATGTTTCCTCCAGTTATTGTGCCAAACAGATAAACTCTGTATAAAGTTGATTAAAATTGTTGTTTTTATATTTCTTGCAAATCTCACCAGGGGCGGATCCAGAGGCAGGACTAGGGGGTGCCCTGACCCCAGCTGAAATCTGGTTTGCTTCTGAAGTGCCCCTGTTCTGTAAGTAGTCTTTAAATAAGCATTCCAAAAACGATTCACTTACTGACACTAGATACATGTTGTTAAGAATTGTTTTTTTTTGTTTTTTTACTTGTGTGACATTTGTGTTCACGCATGCACCTCCTCCAGAGAGAACACAGTGTCTGTGGAGTTCAGTGCATGTCTGAAAAGCTGCTACACAAATTCTCAAAGAAACACATTTGTAGTTTGAATTAACAAAAGTTCTATTCTTTTTTTTTTTTGAAGTACATAATGTGCTTGAACAAGAAACCATCTACCAAATATGTCCCATGACTTTGCTCACAGCTAAAGAGCAAAATGTACCAGTGAAGTTAATGAAAAGAGATTTACCATTACAACTGTGTCTCATTGGAAAAAAAAAAAAAACACTGTTTGGAACTTTAACAATTTCTTTATGAATAGAAGCCATTATTTAAATACGAACCATAGAGTAATAAAGTGCACTCCACCGCAGAGTGAATTATCTTGACCAGAGATTAAGCCGAGTTGGCTTGATGAATAACTGACAGCCGCTCCAGCCAATCCACAAACCGATCAGGCATAGCAACACTGTGCTCATTGGTCCAAATGTAGACACGAGTAACCAATGATGTCACTGGAAACCCACATTGTTTTAGCTGAACTCTATAAAGAACAGACTCCAGCAGAGACTTGTTATTAACAGTTCATGGCAGAGGCTCGTCAGGTCAATGAAAAGGTTTTAAACCAGAATCAAAAACAGGAGAATTCGCTTTATTCTTTTGAAATTAATTTGAATAAAAAAGCCTCGAATAAAGGTTTGTCTGTAAAAAACGTGTCCAACTTCATTCACGTTTTCACTGCTGGGAAAACTTTAAATCCCTCGAGTCTACACTGCCACCTGCTGTCAGTCTGCGGGTAGTTACCAGATATCAGATATAGAAGTTATTATACACACACAACTTATACAACCTTTTTTTAAATGTACATTTTTATTGATGAAAATGCACAACAACTTGTGACATTGGACAGGCCACACCCACACAGTGGACATGTCAAACTCAACATATTCAAACAGAATTTCTCAGATATTGATTTCATGCAAAAATAAATTCCAACAGAATGCTGCACAGGTATTGTGTTAGAATACTCCAGTGTAGTAATTTGTGTAAAATCTGTAATACGATTGGTTGATCTCAAGTCTTTCTCCATTAGAAAAATTATATGGATGTGAATTTGTTTTCAATACAAAGTATAAACATCAGAAATCAGATTTAAACTTGTGCAGATTTCATTTCAATATAAAGTGAACAACAAAGTGAAGTAATTTAATTTACCAAACAATATACGGTACATTCAACCAATACTACATTCATTACTGAGCCTCACTGCAGGGTCACAGGTTTGAAAACCAGAGCATCGGTGGTATGGTCATCCCTAATAATAATCTTTACACATGCAAACTGACGCCCGCAGCGAGGCGTTGCAAGTAAGTCGATGATTGAACAATTTGAACTTCAAACTTAATTCGAATTTCAGCCATCACTCAACATGTGAAAACCCATGAATGTTTCTTAAAGATGAGTTAAATATAAACTCACTGCTGTTGAAGATCACATTAACAAAGGTGAAAGAGGTATAAATCAATAACAAGAGAAAGATCAAGTTCTTCTTTTTAGGATGCAAAATGTCTCTCTCAGATCCATTAATGGACAGATCATACCTCAACTGTTCAATATGATCTTGAAACTACACACAAATATACAACTGTGTCTACTCAACATACAATCTTTTATCTTAAAAAACATCATCAAGTTTTTAGAGACAGTTCTGTTGAATTTCTTCAAACGCACTGTAAATATTGAGCAGTAGCCCATATTAATGATGTTTTGTCTGAATCTGGCACATATCCACACACCTGGACAAGTCGTGCGTCACACTGGCTAACATTAGCATGTGACAGACTGTAAACAAAAACAGATAAATGAACATTACATTTCAACATCAAGCTGCATCTGCTGGTGATTTTACTAGCACAATATGCCATGCAGTAATACTGCAGACTGTCATTTACTGTACTAGAAGGCAAAAAATTTAAATTATAAAAATAAAATCTTTACATCAGTAAAAAAAAAARKYMAAARSCMWWWTCAAGACTTGGAAACTGCATATTTCAATGGCCATTATGTCCCATTTTATTGATAAACTACAGATTAGAGTCAGGTAGCTTAGTCAGCTAGAGTCTGGCAGGTCACTGAGGCTTTGAGAAGCCATTCCTGTCCATGAAGTCTTTAAGCCTGGTGGGAAAATCTGTCATAACTCCTGTGGCTCCCAAGTCAAACGCCCTCTGGAAGTCCTCCTCGTCGTTCAGCACCCATACGTACACCTGAACCAGAAGCAGAACTCGTACAGTTAAAAACACACACAACTTACACTAGGTTCAGGAATGTTACTGTCCTCTCAACAGCAGCTCTAGCAGCAAACATGAGACAGTTTCCAGTAACTGCAACAAGACAAATACATATATTTATATATTTAGTCAGCTGTTGAGTAGAGGATTGTTTCTGTGCCTGAAACATTACCTACCTGAGAGACTGAATAAATGTGTTCATGGAAACAATAACTGGTGATTTTAATCACTTCTGTCCACACACAAATATTTATAACGTTTGGATGTGCGTGATTTTGTGCACTTTCAGAAAGTGAAGGACTTTTCTCATCTGTGAGGACGGCTAGAGAGCGTAGATAAAAGCAAAGTTACCTGTATGCCTCTGGCAGTGAGATGCTCGAACAGAGTTTTCCTCATCAGTAAACTGAAAGAGAAAAATATTCAATGACATAAACAAGTATAGATCTCCAGAGAGTGTCAACACAATAGGGTCCAAACATTATCGGGAGTTTTCACTATGGGGTTGGCATAGAAACTACGGAGATTGTCCGCAGAACTGATTTGGTCATTTGCATTTTTTGCATACAACACGTCTGGATAATTTCAAGGGCATAATCTGGAGTTAAGTGCATGACAGCAGTTTAACAAAGGTAGAGTGAAGTTTGGTAGTATAGCTATCAAGGTTCTGTATAAGTCATGGTTATGTATCAGCGCTTTTCAAAAGTAAAAGTGTGTACATTTGTCAGGTTAAACTGTCACACAGCTGCATAAAATATTATTTTATAAATCATTATATATATCAAACAAAATGAGTGACTCACGTGTCTGCAAGCCAGCTGATGAATCTCAGGCTCCTTGTTAATCTGTCAGGATCCCTCAGTCTGCAGAATCACACACAAAATATTGTTCAATTTTGGAAAAAAAAGAAACTAATGTCGCTGCTGCTCTCGGACTTGATAAAAAGTTTGCGTAGCCTATCAGGTTATGTGACATGCAAAAGGATTACCTATTGCTAAATTTACTTGTGTCAAACAACAACAACAGCTGAGTGGAACAAGTTCAAGACTAGTTCACCTTCATTCAAGGAAAAAAGGAAATCATTAACTAAAGTAGATGTAAATAAGTCAGAATAGAAGAAAAATACACAACAAATACTAATCACATTAAAGTCAGCTGTGCACATTTAACACAACAGATTGACAATTTGTCAACATACAATAACAGAGTAACTGTGTTTGAGGGGTGAATTAGTACTTAATAGCTTTATCGTGAACCATGAATACAGTTCTACCGTGCGAACAGATGCAAAAATGAAAAAAACGAATATCTCCCAGTAAAAAAGCGGTGACACGCACGTAGGAGACACCAACGAAGATGTCGAGAGAGTTTGTGATGATAACAGCTGTCAATGGTGATCTACGCAGTTGAGTTAATACGTCACTTTCTCGCCTGACTAATTTGATTTGTTGCTGAGAAGCTCCTGCTGTGTTGTGCGAAAGGCAAACTGGGTAAACTCTGAAGCCAATTCTCTGGATTGTACCTGTAAGACGGCTTTACTGACAATTAGATCCGTAGAGGACTTGTATCGTATCACTACTTATCAAATGCGACCATTTCGTCCAAAGTAATGTCTCTTTTTGGTTATTTTACGTTTCTCTTTTGAATATTTAATGCCTGCTTTTATCTAGTCGCTTCTTTTTTGTTGTCCTGTTGGAGTTTTTTGATTGACTTCCCAAATACAAATGTTGAGTCACAACAAAATGTAAAAACACAGTGCTACTTTCTCCAGCAGCTCTTTCCACAGATCTCATTTCCATTAGTATGAACTCACTTGGTGATAATGGAGGGCATGGGGATCTCTAGGAACTGCTCCTTGAGGGGAACAAACGGCAGAAGGCCAGTGTAGAAGAGGCCCAACAGCTGCAGCACTCTGGGAAAGCTGAACAACACTGGAATCCGAGGATTCTGCAAACACAAACATAAAACCAGGATTCAGGGTCAGTTTACAGGTGATTCAGTGAGTCTATGCTTTTAAAAAGACACAAACAATGATATGTTTGTTTTTATACCTGAAACTAAAAGATAAATACTGACTCCCCGCAGACAGCAGATACAAAATCATTAATAATAAACGAACTAACACTAAACTAATAACTAATTGTCATTAAATTAAGGCCACACAGCTCATATAAAATTACCTCTTTATAACACTTCTTGACAATCTGGTTGCTAGCGTTTCCCCAGACAGTCAGATGTTCTCTGTCGTACTTGACAACCAGCTCTGAGACCTGAAGAGTTTAATAATTCAGTTTAACAAAACTCTAACAATAAAAACACGTTAAACAGCAGTAAAACACAAATAAGACATTTTAAGTTACCACATTACTTCTTTTGACATCTTTTGACACAGAGAATTTGGCTGATGAAAAGCTGAGTATCCTTAAATTTGTCATGCACAGTAGCAAGAGAGAACTGAAAATGACAATGATTGTTCTTTGATTCAAAGTTAAAAAAAGTCTAAACACTTTATAGGTTTACATTATCGAGATAAAAACACACAAAAAATATGGTGCCCCATTCGTTAGGACTAATTGATTATACACATACTCTACAGTCTGTTTCCTTGATACACGCTGAACAACAACTAATGCTGCTTATTAAGAAAATGCAAATTGTAAAGCTAAAAGTCTGTGAATAGCAGCTGTTGTTGAATGAACATGTCATGGAAATTAGAAAATACACACTAACCTTCTTGATTAGTGTGTCGTTGTTGACCTTGATGTCAATGTTGACAGGGGTGTTCGGAAAGGCATCAAAAACGTCCCTGAGGAGAGGGATGCATTTGTCCTCTCCTCCCTCACAGAAACACTCTGCACAGACAAGGACAAGTCAAACACACAGTCGGCTTCACATAATTAAACAGAACATATTTCAGATAGACGACAGGTTGTAAACTAAAACGTCTTTGTCACATGTCATGATGGTGACAAACACTTTCAATACTAAGATCATTGTGACTTGAAATACTTTGTGAAAATTATAACACAATATTTGTGTATTTATCCCTATAAAAACACAGAGCACCTGGCATGTACATGAGTGTTGTAGTAACTACACCAGCCATGTGTGCGTGATGCTCACCCCTCTGAAAAGTAACTCCCAGCTTGCAGAGGTATGGAGGTAGCTCCTGTGAATAGCAAACAGCAGTCAGTGGTTCAATCATTCAAATTCAATCAAATTTTATTTGTACAGCCTATATTCACAAATCACAATTTGTCTGATAGGGCTTTAACAAGGTGTGAGATCCTCTGCCCTTAACCCTCAACAAGAGTAAGGAAAAACTACCAAAAACCTTTTAACAGGGAAAAGAACGTAGAAACCTCAGAGATGTGAGGGTCTCTCGTGTTAACCGACAAGATTCACAGCCTCCAGTCAGCCTGTGCAGTCGTGGCAGGTCCAGACGTAATGAGAGCCTGAGGGGCGCTCACAATACTGACTGTCTTTATAAACAAGACAGGAACCCAGCGGGGACATGACAAAGTGACATTAATGTAAAGAACTTTGTACTTCTCTACTATGAGGTCAAAGGTCACGTAAACGTAATCTTCTGTGAATATCATCATGACAATTATCAGTGTTTTTACTGCCGCCAAGGAGGTTTATATTTTTTATCTGCATTAGTTTGTTAGCAGGATTAGGCAAAAACTACTGAACTGATTTCCATTAACTTTTGTGGAGGGGGGTGGGCCATGACGCAAGAAAGAACCAATAACACTTTGGAGCGGATCCATACTTTTTTTATTTGACTTTCTTTAGCATGGTGGGACAGAGTTTTAGCTTACTTCCCACTGTGATTTCTGACCTGACCTTATACTGGAGGTGGACTGCCACTTATTAGTGTTTGGGATTTAAATTGTTAATTATGCCACAAGGGCGTCATGCCTAGGCTTTACATAAGTTTTGTAAATATGTTATTGCCCTACGGTAGGTTTGAGAGAAATGATGATAAAAGGGCTGTATTAAGGAGCTGCTATTAGTCACACACTGGACTAGATCAACAAAGATGTGTATAACAAAAAATAACAGCATTGTTTTATTAATCAGGCCATGGTTCAACATGACATAATCAGGTGACTTGGGATAGAACTCATCTGATTAACTCAACCTCCCTCACAAGACTAGTCACAAGTTTCTGTTTCAGGTTTTTAACTCAAATGTAAGTGAACCTCTTGACCTCTATGTCTTCTACATGTTAATGTTGGCAGCAACGTGCTTCATTTTATACACTTGTGGCAATGGGACTGAATGAAACACATGAATTCAATGATTAAGAGGTGTCCCAATACTTTTGTCCATATAGTGTATTTCTCTGTCAGATATGGAAATGTGATGACTGAAGAGACATTTCAGAGCGGTAACTCACAGCGTAGGTGACGTCAGAGATTTGAGCACTGATACCAGTCGCCCTCCTCAAGTTGGAGTCGTGAGACACCACAACCTGTTCATCTTTGGTCAGGTGGCAATCCAACTCCAGCATGTCTGTGCCCAGATCCACAGCGCTGCATGAATCAACAACCAGGACACACACTGTATTTAACACATAACCTAGGAGACTCCAGTGACTTCATTCGTTAATCTCACCACCTCTGTCTCTGAGGTCAACACATAATAAAATCATAAACCACTCTATCAGTAAATAAATCAGACATAAGATCACTTTATCACATCAACCTTTATGATTAGCGATCGAAGGCTACATCTTTACCGATACGTTTTGGTTTAAAAATGGCGTTTTAGCTCTGTAACAAAAGTTATGCATGTTTCTATGTCTCATAATCTACTAACACACTTTTCGGATTGTCTATTTGAACTCGCAGGAAACATTCTAAACAAGGAACAGCAATGGTGAAAAGTAAGAGCATGGATTTCTGCTATTAAAAATATGTGTTAGTGACGCTTTACAGTCATGGCTGGTAGTCAAGTCATGACTGATAACACAATCAGTACTGTGTCATCGTTACCAAATGTTTCTGCCCGTCCATTCTATAACACATCCCCAGAATAGTGTAGATGTCAGGCGTAAGTGATGCATTTTGAAACTAAAATGTTGATGTGGCATCATTCCCTGTGACAAAGACAGAAAACTAGACAGACTGTGGTCACAAACTTTACTCTACTGAGCTCACATGACACTCAGCACTCAAAAGTACAAGTTTCACACGCACGTAGGTTTATACTCACTGCTTGAAAGCTGCCATGGTGTTCTCTAGGTTTTCGCCGGCGCCTGCAATGCAAAGAGGAAACACTATATGAGGTACTCTGGGATTTTTTTTTCATATCTGCATTACTGATGGACCAACCACTGGAACACTGATCTCACTGCTAATACAGATAAAACAGGGATACCCATGATATTCTGGGGAACCTGTGTTGGCATTTTATTTGTGCTTTCAAGAGCTAATCAACTTTCAGTTGTCCAACCTTTTATTTAGTGCATGTTTACCTAATGCAGCAGCATACACAACGCAAAACATGCAAACACAAGTCTTAAAAGCACAGTAGTAAATACATTGTAATACAATCAAAACCATGCATATGCATCTATAAACAAAATATTAAACTGAGGTGGATAAGGTAGACAGATTTATTATTACATATACTAGTAATAAGTTCCCATTGAGAAACAAAATGGTCAAAATAACTGGAGTAGAGTAAAAAAAAAAGAAGTTATAAACCACTTACTACTTAGCAACTATCACTGCTATGTCACGTGTCCATACGCTATTCAGATAAAGTACGTTAAAAAATTGTGCGATCTTCATATACAAAATCACTTTCAGAGGACAACTTACCGTGCATCCTTTTATTTGAGTGGGTTTTTGTGAGAAAACTGACATTTGAATGAGTACCACTGACTCACCTCCACGGTGGGAAATGTGTCTGCTGCGGAAATTCTCTCGCTTCCTTCGGTGCAAAAGAGTGGGACATTTCATGAGCAGGGCAGAGGTGAGCACATAGCCCGTTACCGTCGACAGGACATACACAGCAGCGCACATCTCCTGTCAGTCGCCTGCAAAACAAATCAAACAAACCAGTCAACATACTCAGTGAAGACTTATTTATTTCAACAGCCTCACAGGTGATCTTTGTTGAGACTGAGAAATACTGAGTCATGTCTGAAAATAAATGAATTCAGGAAGAGTGACAGCAAGTATTTTCCAAATGATTCATATAAAGAAAATGTTGTTTTACGATCATTTAAGGCCAAACTGAAGCCTTGGTGCACCTCACTTACCCTGACCAACTGCTGCAACCGTCAAAATATGGCTACAACTACCAACTACCTATTATTGAATTCAGAACTTCCTTTGAAGTTTAAAGACTGATTTTTGCTCCTGAGTGAAAGTTGTGGCTTTAAACTAACCTTTTGGACAATGAACAGAAAAACATTTAACAAATTTAAGGTCAGTTAATTGTGTTACACGTCCTCATTTTGCTTCAAAATGTATAAGCATTATATGGATATGTTTTGTTCTATTCCTATTGATGAAAATTATATTGCGATAATGATACTGTTTTATTGCCAAGCCCTCCACAACTGGGTGATAATAAACAGTAATGTTGTGGATAAATGTTCTTTTCGTTGATTCAAGTAATCATTTCTGCCATAACTGTACCCTGCCAATGTTTATAATTAATTACCTTTGAATGATCAATTATAAAACATTATTTACATGCTGTCAAAATTACAATCAAGTAATTTATTGATCATCATACATGTGAGATATATAACAAGTTTCTACCTCCTGAATAACAGATGAAAAACTGAGCTTATGTTGTTTCTCTGCTGTGATTTCACCCCCAGTGTGTCAGCAGTGAAAGAACAGATGCTCCTAGTGAAACTCTGCACAGTATTATTATCACATTAATTCCTGCTAAAAGTCAAGGTAATATTAAAAATGAGCTTCTTATTGACCGTGTCACTGAGCTGCACTGAGTATTGATACAAACTCGACTGTCCCAAACAAACGCAGTCACATCAACTGTTGTGTGACAGTAGCGTCGTTAGCGCACTAGCTAGATGTGGCTAACGTTAGCCGAGCTGGTGGTCGAGCTCTCGAGATGAAATGTTTACCTTTGACATCCAAATGTCCTGGCTGTCCTCGTGTCCTGGGGTTGACTGACTTGGTTAGTCGCTGGTGAGGTGGTCAGCGTCCATGAGGCTGAGCAGAGAGGTTGTGGGTGTGAGGATGTGACGGTGTGACCTGTCCTTCGCTCCACAGCTGACTGACGGTTCCGGTGCCGCTGACAACTCACTGCGCATGCGCCAATCGCAACAACTTTATGTAGAATAAAAAAACCTGAAAGCAGTTAACAAGTGAATTTCTATAAATATAAAATACACATCAAGTTCACAGATTGGAGCATAAGATGCACGTCTAGCACATGTTAGTAACAATAGTTCAAATCAAACATCACTAGAACTTTAAATAATAATTTAGTTCAAGATGAGGTGCGAACATTTTTATCAGTCCAACAACGAAATATACAATCAAAAGCAGAATTCAGCACAACAATCCACAGCCTGACTGATCTCCTACAGGGCCCCGAGGCAAACATTTGTTGTTGGGCCCCATGGACTGAATACAAAGATGGACTATGCGTCTTCACTTCCTCCCACGATCCAGAATTGAAGCATTTAACTATTATTTGAGCTAGAGCCAGAGTCTGAGCAGTAGCGATCAAGGGATAAAGCAGTGAGGTCCATCCCAGAAACACGCTTCACAATCACAAGTCAGTCTCATCTGTCAATCATGAAGGTTCAATCAATTTTTGTAGCATCAAATAACCAACCATAACACTTGAACATGTATTTATTTTTTTGTTTGGTAGTTTTGGATTTCTATATTTTTATTTGTCTCTATCCTAATGCCTGTCTGCTGCTGTGATGTTGCAATATCCCCAGTGTGGGATTGATAAAGTAGATCTTATCTTATCTTATCGTATCTTATCTTATCTTATTTATGACCTATACTGCAGCATGCCACCAGGGGGCAATCAAGATTCTTTGGCATCACTTGTGTCATGTCATCCAATTTTACTTTTGTCAGATATTATCTGTTATTTTCCTTTATTGTAGACATTTAGTTGCTGTTGGCCTGGAAACTCTCATTGTATAAAATTACTAATTAATTATTTTGATAAATTTTTTACAATTAAAACGAACATGTAACTTTTTCATTATAAACTATTTGTCATTTGTGCAATCAAATGTGCTGTTGTTTAAGTGAAAGAATATGCTACAAAATCAACATCTAGCAGACCCTACAGGTCACATGAAAATATAAACTTCTAGTCTTTACATTGAATAAAATATAGTCTACAAAAACCAGTTCCTTTTAGCTCTGATAATCAATCAATGAGATAACACAGAGAATCCCCACAGAGCAATGTCCAATGTCTCGTTCCTGTCAAAGTTCACTACATGCAATAAACCGACCATAGAGATGTGATAAGCACCTTGAATTCCTGGAGCATTATGTGCAAGTAATTTCTTGTCGCTTAAAGAAGTACAATTGCTTCCGAGGGTTTTTATTTTCAGTGGGTGATTTTGCCAGTAAAATTCAACTCTGATAATGACTCAAGGTTTAACAAACATCCTGGGTGAGTGGAAATGCCTGGAGGAAGAGTATCAACATCTTCAGGTAACGGAACTTAAAAGACTTACACTTAACATAATATTTTTTTAAGCTAATGCACTTACATGATTCTTGCTGTTCTGGGTTTGTACCCTCATGGTTTGATGCAATTATTGTAAGTCGGAAAAAGCTAAATGATATGTAATGTAATGTAACATGTCATAATAGCCTGTGATTAAGCTTCCTATAAAACTTCCATGCATTATTCATACCTGCTTTTATGTCAACTACCTTAGTTGTGCTTGAGGTTATAATTAAACACATTTTCTTTGCTTATTAATGTAACACTGTCTTCTTGTGTTTTGCAGGAGACACACAGAATCTACTTACAGAAACTGGATGAAATTTCCAAACTACAAAAGAGCTGCTCTTCCTCCATTTCCCATCAGAGAAAAAGACTAAATGAGATCTCACATCTGGTGAAGAAGTAGGTGCAAACACACACACATTCACACATTTGCATGGTCATATAAACAATTATATGTGGGTATGAATACAGTAAAGAGGGAGGAATATGCTATCTGATATAAAACATGGACCTTCCTCATCTCAAATGAACACATACTATTAATATGTCATGCTTTACCAATGATACAAACTGATCTTATGCTCTTTTATATCATCAACCAGATGCAGCACAGGAACATCAGAAGAAGCCACAACAAACATCAATGTGATAAATGATAAAATGAAGACGCGACCAAATGCTCTCTTTGAAATGGAATCTTTTCTTCCCAAGAAAAATGGGTGAGGACAGCATTTTTAGTCAAAGGATTAGTGTGGATGTCATTATTGTGATTACAAATACATACAACCGTATTGGTTAAATCGGATAAGGTGAAATTAATATGATTGTGTCATATTCCAGGCTGTATCTGAGTCTGGTCCTTGGAAATGTGAATGTCACTCTTCTCAGCAAACAGTCAAAGTAAGAAAGGCCGCTTGAAACCAATACATAAGTTAAAAATCCACATTTTAATTTCATGTTAACATTTGTTTAATTAAATAACATTATTATATTTTTCTGTGTGTCATTCTCATTCAGTGGAT